TCTCTCTCTCTCTCTCTCTCTCTCTCTCTCTCTCTCTCTCTCTCTCTTCCCCTCCCCGTCTCCTTCTGTATCCCCACATCAGCTCTTCCTTCTTTTCTAACTTGGCATCAACATGTGAAGAAAATATGTAGCAGTGAAACGTTCTTAAAGAGGTCCATTATAAACAATTAAATCCTAAGCATCTAGTATTACCACACAATGCCCCTATTCTGTTAGTCAAAGAAAATTGTTTCTTCATTCTTCCAGGTGACAGTAGTTGCAGGAGTTGATGATGGACCTGACAAGATAACCAAGCTCAATCACGGAATATACGACTAAAGCTTAAAATAGGGAGGCGGGATGGCAACCAGTTGTTTTTGCGACGGGGGAAAGCTGCAGTTGGGCTCTTCCTGTGGTAATTTTCCCCAAACCCCTTCGCAGTGTAGCCAAACTGGGAAGTCAGCCATCCGCAAATCTCCCCCAAATTGTTATCTATGAAATAAAGACTGCGAACATAGGGCAGGAAAGAATCACCCCAGAGCAGCCGGCAGGAAATGATGGCAGCTGCCGGGAAGAGGGCAGGAAGGCACAGTGGCCGCAACTGACTGCCCACGCCTGCGCGGGGGCGCGAGCGCGGGGCCCGGGGCCCGCCGGCCTCCCCACCAATCCTTTTGGATCCCTACTTGTTCGGCTTCTAGTACTTTATCTGAAGCCGCCACGGAGCTTCCTAGCGAGTCCCGGAGCACTGTGCGGAGTGAGGGCTAATATGGAGCACTGCAAATACTAAAATGGCTGATCAGCGACTTCTTCAGATTTTCAAACTCGGCCGGAGCTTTCCAGTCCTTTGCCCCGGCTGTCCCCGCTGAAGCCCCGCTACCTGAGAACAAAGCGCGCCTGGCTGGCCGGCTGACCCCGGCGCCCACTGCTGCCTCACCCCCTCCAACTTAGGCGGAAGCGCAACTGAGCAGAGAAATTGGCGCGCCCCCCGCCCCTCCTCGGCGCCCCACCCCCACGCCAGCCGGCCGGCCTGGGCCTGCGTCAGTCCCGCTCCTCGCCCCTCGGGTGGGCGTTATGTAACAGCCCCATCCCAACTCCAGAACCATTTCAACAACTTGTCCCGAAGAGGAGATAGTGGGGCTCGCGAGGGCGGGAGGGTGAGCCCAGCCGGCGCTGCGGATCTAAACCCTGGGCCGCGGGCGCGAGCTGCAGCTGCCGGGGCAGGCGGCCACCGGGCTCCGGCAGTCCCCCGTGGGATCTGTCCAACAGCCCGACTGCGCGCCCTGGGGAACAACGTGTTCTCTGTGGAAAGGGAGCCAACAGGCGCGCGATAGGGAGCTAGGTGGGAGGGCTTCTCCTGAAGCACTCAAGATGAGCGAAAACCCCTTGAACCCAAGGAAGCAGCCCTCCCCCGATTCAACCCTCACCCCAGCTCCCTAATGCGCACACTCTTCAATTCCTTTCGCTCCCTCTTCAGGCCCCTCCAGCCAGCGGGGGTCCCCGAGATTACAGCCACCTTCTCTCTACGCCGTCACACGCACGCGCGTGTGCAGTCACTCACACCCACACATTGACACACAGAAACGCACACACACCACCCCAGAAACGCACACACACACTCACACTTGCTAGCTTTCCGCGTGCAGCACCCAAAAGGCATGAATATTCATTACTTACAAGCATTGGTGACTGCGAAGCTGTTTGCCACCTCCAAATTGTCGATGTGGGGTGTCAATCTGAACTCCGAAGTGGAAAACTGAACCATCCCTACCCGGAATGCACTGTATTCTTGATCTGCGCCCCTAGGAAATAGCCCCCCTGCAAAGAACAAACAGCAAGCAAAAAGAACAGTGTCAGTGTCCGGGAGGGAAAGGAGGGGCGCGCGCTAGCGCCCAACAGTCCAAGAGTCTCTTATTCAAGCTAATAGGCCGAATAAACACATCTACAGACTCGGACAGCGGAGGCCGAATATCCAAAAGGTAGCCAAGGGGTCAAGACCCAGATGAGAGTCTGAAGGGGAGGTAGGCGGCCAGAAACCTTCGTCTTTTCTTGTAATCACAAGCTTTGCCTTCAGACCCCAAGAGAATCTGAGCGAACTGGAAAATGTCGCTAAGGCAAAATTAATAAAATTTGGGGATCAGAAATGAGAGGACCTTTTCCTCGATTGTATAAAAGGCGTAGTCGTTTCCTTTTGCTTCATCCTAAGAAAAACATGTATATTCTAGGTAGTTTAAATCTGGAATGCAGTCAAGGTATGACATAAGTCTACATGACATGAATTAATTTGTACACTATGAACAAAGATTACCACCAAATTATGCACAATTCAAAAGCATAGCACAAAGGATACCTACCTATCTGTATGCTGTTAGAAGAGACACCAAAAATCAGTCCCCATAAAACAGGAGAAAGGAGGACAGAAATATGCATAATCTTTTGCATTTCCAAGAAAAGTAGAGCATCCACAATATACCCCTTTTTTTTTCCTTTTCCTCCTCTTCCTTCTTTGGCTGTTTTCCTCTGCAAATTAGATCCTCTGCATTTTGAGACAGCAATTTAGCACCAAGCTGCTAAAACCTGAAGTGAAGGCAGAAGAATCCCTATTTCCCAGGTCCTGCTGGTGGCTGCTGATGCCCTGCGCCCTGTCCCCGCTCCAGAAGTCCGGAGGACTGGCTGAATGCAGTTTTCAGCGGAGCTGCCGCTGTGGTCCCAGTGTCTCGGAATATTCAGCACCCTCCCATGCACTCACACACACTCACCCTCTCTCGCGCTCTCTTCTCCCTCTCTCCTCTCTCACTCACGCGCGCGCGCGCACACACACACACACACACACACGCACACACAGGCAAGTCACAGAGAGGGGCAGGCAGTCCCCGGCGCGCGTGCGCGACTCGCAGCAGGCAGCGGGCGCGCGCGCCCCCTCCCCCGCACGGCGCCCGGCACCCCGCACCGCCGTGAACGCATCGCGTGCGCGGCGCTGCGGGGCCGGTAGCCGCTGTCCCTCCGCGAGACCTCGGGTCTCCCGGGCTGTCGCGCCCACCGCGCGCTTCTGCCTTTCAGCACCGAGGACAGCGCCTCGCTCCCAGCCGAGAGCTACCTTCGTGCCACTGTTACAGCTGCTGCGGAGATGCTCCAACCTGGAACAAATGCAGCAAAGCTGATTTCCGGCTGCTGTGCAGAAGCCAAATTGCTAATTGTTGGCGGCGAAGCGTCCTCTCACCAGGCCCTGCTGTCTTACGTTAAAAGTAAATTTGATTTTTACCTTCCATCTCCTGTGAAAACGCATTTAGCAATACAGAAGCCCTGTCATCCACCTCACCTGACCCAGCTGAAAGCAAACAAGCAAGCAAAGCACCCATAGAGGAAATGTTCCAAAATTCTGGACTTGGGCTTCACGGGATGTAGCCAGGATCCGGGGAGAACCCCAAGTTCTATCTTTAAATGCTAAAGCCGCTTATAAGATCAAGATGGAATCTTTGAAACATTTTGCATTATTCAACTGGGCTGTGATGCTGACTTGCCTAGCCACAGGGCGCACGGGTCTTTCTCGCAGCTTTCACTGCAATCCCTCCCGTTGTAGGGTCATGTAGACTTGATTTCCTAGAAGCCCTTGCTTTATACAGATTGAATGCAAGAGACTGGTTTAAGGAAAAGCTATCAGAGGGAAGTGATTAGAAGATGAAGCTAGTCTAGAAAGGCCACAGAGATGCGGATCCTTTCCCAGAGACTTACTTAGAAATTTGTTTCCCCATCACGTTTTGGCCCTGGGTTTGGAAAAATCACTGCCTAAAGAAAGTACCTCGCTGTGTTGAACACGCGGGCCACTGGGAAAGAAAGATGAGGTTAGATATTAAAAGTTTGGGAGGAGAGTGTTGATGGGGAGACGGATGATTGGACTTGTCCATGTGAAAATTATGCTCTTCAGGGTGCTTTCCAAGCCCATTCCTGGGAATCTGCTCTAATAATTCCCTGTGTGAACTCAGAGAAGCCCCCAAGTTGCATGGCTTTAGTGGTTTAAACAAATAAAGGAAGATCGACAGCAAGGGACTGTTTCCGGAGAGAGACTGGAGCTTACAGTACTAAAAGGAGAACTCCTAGTATTCCAAATGCCATGAGAGTATATCAGGCTGCCTTCTTGTGCTTGCAGCTTAATTGCTGACTGTGTTATCTTATGCTTCTTTCTTAATCACAGTGGCCTCAATTTCCCCATTTTAAAAATGATGAGCAAAAGTGGCTTCTATGGCTCTTGGATCCTATATTGCCATCATTTCAAGTTATGTCCTTTCTCTCTTTTTGATATAGTCCTAAACAAGGAAGTGAGAATAGCTGTAATCTATTATTAAGCTTATAAACTACAGGCTAAAATATCTCTTAATTTTATCACTTAGAATTTTTTTAGTATAAGTACTCCACACTATATATAAAGCAGGTCTTCTAAATCAAAATGCATTAATAAAAGTAGTATATAAAAAACAAAATTACAATAAATTGATTAAAAATAAATAAAATTAAGAGACATAACTTACATATATATTCAAAATTAGGACATAAAGAATAATTAAATAAACCATACATATTTAATCATTTGAGATGTAAGGCATAAAAATGATTGGAAACTATTCCCTATTTAAAAATTTTTAATGTAAAAGCATTCATAACAGAACAGGGCAAAATTGAAAATGCCTCTGCAGTTATCTTCTTTTTTTTCTTGATTCACTTGTTTCCACAGGAAAACTTTAATTTTACAGAAAATAACTTAGAATTGAAGAGAGCAAGGACAGAGAGAAGGGAAGCGTGAGTATGAAAAAAATTTGATCTTTAAAATGTGTGTTGAGGTAAATTGAATTTTAAAAGATAAGAATGTTTTCAAACTATTTTCATCTTAACCTGTTTTAAAGTCAAGGGCCGATATGAACTCAAAATTGTCTGAGTTACATTCTATAAAAAACAAATGCTGTAAAAATAAGAATTTGCTGAATCATAAAGTATAGTAACTAATATGTAAGAGCTCAAGAAAAGTATTACTGTCTAGTGGCCAATTATAATTTATATATATAAGATGGAAATAAAAATTTTAGCAAGCATTACTTGTAATTCCACTGCTATTCTATGTGTTTATAAACACAAGTTAGTAACATATATAAGTTTCACATATTTTGAAACTTACTTCCTATATCAGCATAATTACATTAATATTATCATCATGATATTTCTTCAAATTTATTATAATGTTTTAATAGTATGTATGTTTCAAGCACAGAATCCTGTCAATGTAAGTGTAGTAAGTTTAAATTGACTACAGTAAATGGTTGTTTATACAAATACATGGAAAAATGCTGGAATTTATATTTTGAATGTACACAGCTCTATTTTTTAACATGTAACAACTTCCTATTTCAAGAATATGTATCTCAAATTGATCACTAATCAATTTTGAAAATTTCAAAACTACTAGGTCAACAGTTGACTAGAATAGTGTGCCACAAGAAACAGAGTTTGCTATTTTCTGCCCTCTGCTGTTCAATTTTGGCAATTATGTAAAACTTTATTGCTTCTACTGAAAGAATTATAAGTCACAGTAAAGTAAAAGAAATAAAAAAGTGATCCACTATATCATTTGTTAGTCTAGTTAGTTGGTTAGTTAACAGTTTTGAAATTACTGGCAGAGCAAACTTTTAGCTGACTTTATTATCAAAAGTCATAAATGTCAGTGCTGCTGTTCCTATTGAGGAAGTTTGACCAAAGTGGATTTCACTCCCTCCCTTCGTATTGATTCTCTGGGGCTGTAAAAATGTAGGACATCTAACAGACTTAGGTGCAGTGCAGCATTAGTAAAAAATGAGTGTCCTTCTACTTTCTGCAGAAGATGGCAAAGGATAGATAGCATTTCTTGCAGAAGAAACATGTTTCATACATGAGATCCTATTGGTTGATACGGAGCAAAAGAAACAAATAAAGAAGAAAACATGAGGACTGTAATTACTCAGGGCTATAAATTAAAAAGGGATATTCATTCTGGGGAGTTTTAGTTCCTTAATTAAGATATATAATATCTTATTTATTAAGATATTAAGATAATAATATGAAAATAGTTAGATTAACATATTATTAAGATAATAATAATGTGAAAATAGTTACTTTCATTTTTTATTTTTAAGGGCTTTGATTATATTATTTTTAACTCATTTTATCCCTATAGATAGCCATTCTATAGCAGAAATATTTATTAGAACATATAATGTTTCAGTTCATTCATTCAAAAAATATATTAAGAGACCACTATATTTCAAATACTGTACTTGATATGGTGGATAAAATGGTAAACACAACAGATGCCTTTCTTATGAAGTTCCCAGAATTTAAGTAAGTAAATAACGAAGATCATGTGATGAGAGAAATAAGAAATGGAAAAGGTAGACAAATCATTAAGGCAATATAATGACAGCAATAAAAAATCTGTAATTCTCATTGTATCTTGGAGCTCAGGACAGAAAAGGGTCATCAAAGGCTGACACCCAAACTGAGTCAAGTAAGGGTTAGCTAGGTGCAGGGTTGGAATTAACAGAGGAGAACACTTCGTGAAAACACAAGGACTTTAGCAAAAGCATATGTGAGGTCCAGAAATTACAAGGAACTCAGTGCTTCTAGAATGGGAGGTGTCAAGAAAATAGTCGCAGAAACACACAGACAATAACAAAAACTATGTATTTAGCCTATAGGAAAAGAGCACCATTTTGAGGGTTAGATCTTAAGATCTGCATTTTAATGGAACATTTTTGAGGGTGTTTGAAAATGTATTGAAAGGCAAACATATTGAATGTAGGGGGCCCAGTAGAAGGCTGTATTCCTGGTGTGGGTAATGAGAATAAGGATTAAGGGATTCATAGTACAAATAGGAAGAAAACATTGGTTTTATGAAATATTTAAAATGAAAACTTAGTAGAACTTGTTAGTGGAGTTTTATGTAATGAAGGTAAAGGAGATGGAAAAACGAAGTCAACTTCCAGGGTACTAGGCTGAGTATCCAGGAGAAGACTGGCTTTACCAAGGGATGGAGAAAACACTAGAAAGCAGATATGCGGGCAAAGTGATGAGTTCACCTTTAGACATGTTGGGTTTACAGGGTCAGTGGGCTGTATCCACTCACCTTTTGCGTTGGCAGTTAACACTGATTCTAAAATTCAGGGAAGAGGCCTCATGTGGAAGTTAATTTTGAGACTCATCACACTATAGTGTTTCTCATGACAGTTATCATTTCTTGAAAAAGTTACTTAAAGCAAAAAAAAAAAAAATTCCAAGCAAAAAAAGTGAAAAGAGAAGACACACGCATACCTTTAAAATCAAGCTTTGATTTAATATTGATAAATGCATACTCATATTCCACTTTCTTAAAGTGAGACCAAGGCCATTATCTTGAGCATAGACCTACTGAATCATTTCTCTTTTTGATTTCTTTAAAGTGAAATGAGAACTTAAGAATATTTGTGAAGTAATGAGAATGCTAAATCCTAAAAATGTTCAATTTTAAGGATTTTTCTTAACTATTTTACGATGGACTTCCTCACACATAATGGAGTAAATATTTTGGTCTCTTTGTATTACTGATCCTTTACAGAACGTTTCACATACTTTTCAACCACTCTCTGTTTACAGGTTATCACTATACACACCAACTGAAGAATTCTGTCTAGCCAAGATGTGTGGACAAAATAAATGAAGATATGGAAGGAGCATTTAGTGAAAGTGGCTGGGATATTGTTTTTTATTTTTTAAATTTTATTGCGATAAGAACACTTTATATGAGATACCCTCTTAATATTTTAAGTACACAGCTTATTATTGTTAACTATAGGTGCAGTGTTGTACAGATGATCTCTAATTCATCACGCC